ACAAACTTCTCACTGACAAAGGATCCATGATTAAGGCTCCTCTGTCACCCAGCACTTCCCACCTCGTGTGAGCCCCCAGGGACCTCCTTGTCGCTCCCCTGAGCTGGGAACACCCTCCCAGAGCCCAGACACCACTTTGCATCTCCCAGACTCTCATCTCGGAGCAGCTTTGAACACCAAGCCCTGAGTTTTCCCATCCAGAGGCCTCCAGGACATGGAGAGATCTGAGAGGGAGACACGGGCAGGAGAAAGGAGCAGGAGCCCAAACCCACTGCCATCAAAGCACTTTTGTCCAGAGATCTCCAATTAGACCAGGACACGCTCTGGCTGCTCTTGCTGACTGTTCACAAAGCACATGAGCTTCGTGTCAGCTTGGCCTCCTCTCCTCCTGCCCCCTGGCTCCAGCTCCTTCTCATTAACGATGCTCTGTCTTCATTAGCAAATTAATCCCCCAGGAGCTGCAGCAAAACCCACCAGAGCGAGGAGCAGCAGAGCCACGTCTTGGCTCTGGCTGGACAACAGAGAGGATTTCCTAGGCACAGAAAGATAATCACAGAAATGCTAAAAACCTCTCAGACCTGGGATCTTTGAGGCTTTTTTTATTTAAACAGAACAAGAGGTGATTTGTGAGTGTTGGGTCTGGATTGGGTGCGGGTTGGAGGGTTGGGAAATGAGCTCTCAGCTCTCTCCTGGACAAGGGGGAATGGCTTCCCACTGCCAGAGGGCAGGGATAGGTGGGATATTGGGAAGAAATCCTTGCCTGTGAGGGTGAGAGGGGGATGAGATGGAATTCCCAGAGCAGCCATGGCTGCCCCATCCCTGGAAGTGCCCAAGGCCAGGTTGGATGAACTCGGAGCAGCCTGGGACAGTGAGAGGTGTCCCTGCCCAGGGCAGGGGGTGGAATGGGATGAGTTTTAAGATCCCTTCCCAAACCCTTCTGGTATTCCACGTTCTCCTGGAGAAAAGGGGCCTCAGTGTTTCTGCAGCCTCTCCTGGAGTGTCCCCTCAGGAGGCAACAGCTTTCCCTGCAGCCCCTGCTCCTTTTAGCTCTGACCAATCTGTCTGCCCTTGGGGACAATTTGTCTGCTTCCACCTCCACCCATCGCCTCTTCCCCTCCTCTGGGGAGCAAACAGCACCATCAACAGTGTCTATTTTGCCTCTTTGCATCACTTTCCAAAACCTCAAAGACCTTTTTGTTCCACACCAACCCAAACCTCCTGCCCATCCCATCTCCCCAGGGGATCAGAGGCTGGATGGTGGCTGTGCCTCCTTTCTCCCGAGGACTTGGGGTGATCTTTGTGGGGAAGGGATGGTGCAAAAACCACTACGGATGTGGAGGAAAATCTACCAATTATGGTCAGGCTGAAAACCCACAGGCAAAGGAAATAAACCCAAAGTGGATGATGATGGTGGTGACTCTGATCAGGGATGGTTTAGTCACAGCTGCCAACAAAAATAATAGTGGTAATAAAATTGCAATGCTGCTGCTGATTGTTCTGATGCTGATGGTAATAATAAGATTATTTATTAATTGTGAGCCATTATCAGCATCTTCTAGGGCTTCTTTCTGCCAGACCCACCCCAAAATCCAGCCCTGTCATATCAGTGCAGGATGAGGTAAATGGGAAAGGCTTTTCCTCTATGGGAAGGAAGAACCACAGGAACAGCAAAGCCTGTCCCTGACCCCCCTGTTAAATCCCCCCCATGTGCCAGGGGGTTGGAATCAGGGGGGACCTTGCATTTCCACCCTTTACAGAAGCACAGGATCATTAGGTTTGGAAAAGACCTCTGGGGTGATCAAGTCCAACCTTGGACTGATCCCATCTCATCACTGAGTGCCACGTCCAGTCTTGCCTTGGGCACTTCCCTGGAAAATCAGGTGGAAAAGTGGTTTAAGTGGGGCCTGTGAGCCCTGGGAGAGCTCCATGGCCAGACCAGAGGGATTCATGGAGCTGGGGGGGAGGACAGAGCGGGAACTTGGAGTCACTTGGTGGCTTTTGCCACTCTCCACATGAATTGGGACAGAGGGGGTTCCCAGGGAACACGATTCCCTGCAGCCACCCCTGCGCTGGGCTCGGGGCCTGAGGGAGCAAAGGGAACAGAACCAGCTCCAAATGTTGCTGTTTCCCATGGACTTTGGGGTTCATCCAGGACAGGGAGGTGGACAGGCGGCAAGGAGGGATTGATCTGGACCAGGCCAGAAGGATGGATGTCGGAGGAGGAGGAGGAGGGGTGGATCTGGACCAAGGCAGAGATGGATGTGGGAGGAGGAGGAGGAGGAGGAGGAGGGATGGATCTGGACCATGGCAGAGGGATGGGTGTGGGAGGAGGAGCAGGGATGGACATGCAGCAAGGTGGGAGCATCGCTGTGAGGAAAAGAGGGATGGATGTCCAGCGAAGGGGGGGGATGGGTGGATGGATGGATGGATTTAAGCAAGGGATGGCTGTGTTGGGAAGGGATGGATGTGCAGTGAGAAGGACAGATGTGCCATGAGGACAGAGGTGCTGGGGGCACGTGGGAGCTGGAGGAGCCCCTGGCAGGGTGTTTCTGTGCTCTGTTTCACCCCCTCTGGACCCCATGAGCTGTCACCCTGGGGTGTGCACACCCTCCCCCGCTGTCCCCAGACCCACCTGCACAACCCAGGGTGTTCTGGAGCTCTGGGGGGCTGGGATTGTCCCCCTGCAGCTGTTCCCCCTCCCCTCTGCCTGGGCTGCCCCATGTCCTCTGCTCCTGGTTCCCGAGTGACAACGGGGACTGGGTGCTCCCTCTGCCCCCTGTGCTCCTACCAAGGGGAGAAGGGCTGGGGGCTCTGGGAGCATCCCCCTGCCTGGGTGCCCTGGGAGTGTCCCCCTGCCTGGGGTCTGCCTGCAAGCTCTGGGAGGGTGTTTGGGGCCGTGGTGGCCCAGTGGCAGCTCAGCAGCTTTGTCTCTCTGCTGGTGGCTCTCCCGAAGCTCTGCAGGGCAGGGCAGGAGTGGGAACACGTCCAACAAAACCAGTGGGAGACCCTGGGAACCCCCCGGAAGTGGGGAGATGGGACACAGCCTGCGGGGGGGACAGGAGTCAAACCCCGACCGGGTGCTCGTCCCCGTGTCCCAGAATCATGTCTGGGTTGGAGCCTGCAGGGGCTGCAGGGAGGAGCTGGGGTGGGGGATGGGCTGTGATTTCCACTCTTTCCCCCCCACCCTGAGCTGCTTAAGCCTGGGGGGTGGGAGGGTGGTGACAGGGCACACCAGCCCCCCTCAGGACCTGTTCTGGGTGACAGGGGGTGCACAGGCCGGCACAGAGTCCCACGGGAGCCTCTGACATCCCTCTGCTGCCCCCCCTCCCATGGGCCCCTCTCCCCTCTCCCTTCCCTTGTCCCACAGTCCCAGTTCTCTCCCACCCCTCCTGCCCTCCCCGTGCCCTCCCAGCCCTGAGCCTTTCTCAGGGTCTCCTGCCCTCTCTGCTCCTCACAAGGAATAAATCACCCTCTGGCTCCAGCCTTGACTCTCAGAGGAAACTGCTGCCCACATTGTCACCTCCTTCCCAGGGGACCTGGCTGCCACCAGCATGTCGGGAATCTTTTCCCAGGACAGGGAGGGCTCATTCAGGGGAGCTGTCCGGGAGACTGGTGGCTCTGGACCCTCTGGACTCCTGAGGACTGATGTCCCCTCCTCCACCCTGGGCCCCTCCTCGCTCCCACCTTGACACCTTGCCCACGAGGTGGGTCTGGAGAAGGAGAAGGAGGCTGGTTTGGGGTCCTCAGCTGTATTAAAAAGCCCCAAAATGCTCCATTTCCCACCACAGGCAAAGGAAACCTTTTTCCAGCACCAGGATGGAGATCCAGGTTTGCCCCCCACCCTGGTCCCCGTGGCCAGGTTAACACAGCAGCACTGACAGACCCAGCAAAGAGATGGAAAACATCCTTTGTTCAGTGCCCTCCGGGGAAGGGCAACAACTCTTGGGCTGAGAATCTTCTCAGCCTCCAAAGAGAAGCTTTTCCGAGGGCCAGGGAGGAAAATCAATGGAGCAGAACTGCACTTCCCGCTTGGAGAGCTCTGGGGACACGAGCTCAGCCCTGAGTGCTCCCCATGGCACCAGGGAGGGAGCAGAGCCCAGACAGAACTTGGCTCTCCTCCTCCTCCCCCCCACCCCCGCCTTGGCACCAGCCCACGAGGGAAGAGGGTTTTTGGACGGGTCCCCGCCATTAGGGGATGGAACTGAAACAGGCCGTGCTCAGAACCTTCCCTGGGGCTCCATCAGCACCTCAGACCCTCCCTCCATCCTCGGGGCTCCCAGGAGGTGCTTTGGCGGCGATTTCCTGCCCTGGCACCAGGAATTGTCTGGCGCAGGAGCTGGCAGGGCCAGCTAGGGGTAGGACACCCAGCAGGCACACTCCAGATTCCTAAAGCATTTTCTGCCGTGGCATCAACCCCCTGAGCTCCAGAATCGTGTCTGGGGTCTCTGCCCGTCCCAGGGCACGTGCAGGGAAACCAGTTTGTCAACACAGTTCTCAGAACAGGTTGTTAGTGGTTGCCAGGGGAGGGGGTGAGGAACATCACCCCCCCAGCACGGGCACTGCCACCCTACCCGGAGCAATCTGTGGAAATGGGAGGGATTTGAGATGTTTCAGAGCAAGTCTTGGAAATGCAACATCAGGAGATGGTGTGAACTGAGGGGAAATCCTCCCTGTTCACACACTGCAAATTCCCAGACACTAACTTTTGGAACGATGGACAGGTTGGGTTGTTGGCTTTAACTTGCTCACGGGTCACTCAACAATTTGGGAATGTGCACAGAGACATTCCAGTCGTACCTCCAGAACCCCAGGTACCTCAAACCCGACTCTCTCTGGTAACTGAACTTCCCCACTCCAGTAACTGAACCTCCCCAAACTTCCCCTCTACACGAGGTTTATGTCCAGCATCCCCCTGATTTATGTTCGGCTCCAACCCAGACATGATTCTGGGACACGGGGATGAGCACCCGGCCGGGGTTTGACTCCTGTCCCCCCCGCAGGTACAAGAGCGTGGTGACGCCCCGGCGGGCAGCCGTGGCCATTGCCTGCTGCTGGATCGTGTCCTTCCTGGTGGGACTCACCCCCATGTTCGGCTGGAACAACCTGAGCAAGATGAGGAGGACTCAGGAGCCCAACGGCAGCCAGGAGTTCATCATCACATGCCAGTTCGAGACGGTGATCAGCATGGAATACATGGTCTACTTCAACTTCTTCGTGTGGGTCCTTCCCCCCTTGCTCCTCATGCTGCTCATCTACCTGGAGGTCTTCAACCTCATCCGCAAGCAGCTCAACAAGAAGGTCTCCTCCAGCTCCAACGACCCCCAGAAGTACTACGGGAAGGAGCTGAAGATCGCCAAGTCCCTGGCGCTGGTCCTGTTCCTCTTCGCCCTCAGCTGGCTGCCCCTGCACGTCCTCAACTGCATCACCCTGTTCTGCCCGTCCTGCCAGACCCCCCACATCCTCACCTACATCGCCATCTTCCTCACCCACGGCAACTCGGCCATGAACCCCATCGTCTACGCCTTCCGCATCAAGAAGTTCCGGACAGCCTTCCTGCAGATCTGGAACCAGTACTTCTGCTGCAAATCCGCCAAAAACGCCCCCGGCAGCACCACCGAGGCCGAGCAGGGCAATTAGGGACAGGGGAGGGCAGGGAGGGGGGTCTGTGCCCACCCCGGCCCCACTGGGTAATTAGGGACGGGGGGAGGGCACCCGTCTGTGCCCACCCCGGATGCTGCTCCTGCCATTGGGAGAAGGGAGCGAGGACCTGGAGGGGTCGGGCAGCCCCGAGCAGTCCCAGCAGTCATGTCCCCCCCCGGGGGGGTTATTTATTCACTGTTTGGATGTTGTAGCCCTGCACTGTTCCTTTCTGGGTTCGTTTTCGGGTTTTCTCCCCCGTTTGTTTTTGTTTTTCATTTTTTTTTAAGGGTTGCCAAGTATTTAAGGAGAAGTTGTACAGACAGAGGCGCAGTTTTTCTTCCTGCAAATAAAGACCTGTGACCCAAACCAGGCAGGAGGTGCCCACCCATTGATGGAGACCCCCAGCTCTGTCTGGGGGATGTGGGGGCACCTCATGCTCCGACCCCCCCATCCACAGACCCACCTGGGCACTGGGAAGAAGGGAGTGAAGCTGCTGAATCCCCGGGAAGTGGGATGGGATTGCTGGAGAGCTGAAGCTCTTCAAGGCCTTTCTTCCCCCTCCACAAGGGAGGGGTGAGCTGGGCACAGGCACAGTGAGGGGTGGGAAAAGGCATCCCATGGCTGTGGGAACCACAGAGCACAGGGTCGGTGCCCAGCTCTCAGTGCCACCAGAGATGTGGGCAGGGGGGCAGTGACACCCTCGGGCACAACCCCAGAGGACTCTGCAGAAGCACCTTTTGCAGCCCCAGTGGCTCCCTCTGGACCCCAACAGCACCCACCACCCCACGAGCTGCACCCAGGGACTGTGACTTCTCCACGTGTCTCCTTCCATTTCCTTCGGTTTTGGGTCCTTTTCCCTCTTTTCTCCCCCATGTCTCCTGTGAAAAGCAGCAGCAAACCTCTCTCAGCCCCTTTGTCTCCTCTCTCTCACTTCCCTCCCCGCACAGCCAAACGCCTTCCACCCAAAAGCTGTGGGATAATGCAGCAATTCCTCAGCCCAGGGAGGGCAGAGGGGCCCCTGCACCCACCTGGGGGCAACTGAGGGGTGGCTGCAGGCCACTGAGTCAGCGCTGCTGCTGCCCCAGGGGCACTTTCCCACCCCTCCCATTTGAGGAGGGAGTGGCTGGACAGGGACCATCGTCCCCTCCCAGCTGTGGCCCCGCTGGATGGTGGCAGTGCCAACCCGTGCTCTGCAGCAGGATCTCCTCCAGGGCTCAGGCAGTGGTGGGAAGGGTTAATTCGAGTTGATTGGGATTCTTTCCTTATCCCTTGCTCACCAGGCTCCCATTGGAAACACACTCCTGTGACCCCTCAGGGTCCTGCCCTGTCGGGGACATGTCACCAATGGGCAAAGGGGCTGCAGAGCGTTCCTGCGAGGGCTGAGGTGGGTTCAGAGAGGAAAAGGACCTTGGAAGGGTGAGATTTGGGGGTGGTTTGTTGGCTGGGCACCAAGAGCAACGCCGAGAACGGGGGGCACGGGCAGTGGGGCTGCTGGGTGACCCCTTCTCCCACTCTGCTCAGCCTGGAGGGATGGGGAGCATCACAAAGAAGAAAGGAGACAAGGAACCCACCCTCCCACACTTTGCAGGGGCCTCAGTGCCTCATTCCCAGGCTCCAAACTGGGTAAAATGGGAGCAGAGCAGAGGAGAGTGGCAAAAGGATGGGGGGTAAATCCTAAATCCTCCCCTTGGGCCCTGAACGCCTTCCCAGACCCCAGAGGTTCAGACCCCGATGTCAGCGGTGCCTGAGGGTGCTCAGACCCCAATGTCAGCGGTGCCTGAGGGTGCTGCAAGCCCAGCCTGGCACAGAGAGACCCCCCCGCCCCCCGTGGTCCATGGGCACAGCAGTGCCCTCAGATCTGTGCTGCTGTTTGCCAGCTCTGATCCCACTGGCATCTCATTCCTGGCACTGTCACCTTCTCCGGGTCCTCGCTGAGGTGCCCAAAATCCCGAGGACTGGGATGCTCATAAATTAAAAGCCACGTGAACGGTCACTTCGGACAAAAAACCCCCCTCCAGTGGATTTTTCCACTCCGTGCTCTCCAGACCTTTCCCGGGGAGGGCTCGCTAAAAGTGGATGTTCTCGCCCACCTCGGTGCCCCGGGGGGTCACAGACACGGGCTGTGCCCTGGAGGGTTGGAATGAGGGTCTGGAAAGGGCACAGTGGGCAGTGTGACACAGTCTCAGGGGTGCTGCTTCTCCCCTGGGGCAGCAAAGCCCCTGCTGGGAGATTCCAGGCCCTGTCTCCCGAAGAATGTCCCAGGCCGAGGTGCCAGGGGCATCCAGGGGCATCCAGGGGACCAGGACGTCCCCCCCAGTGTCCGGGGGTGAGTGTGCCAGGGCAAAGCAGCTCTGCAGCCTGGGCTGGGACATCCCCCGGGTCCCAACTGGGCCAGCAATCCCCCGGAGCAGCAGCGGGACAGTGAATCCAGGGATGGGACAGTGAATGAATCCAGGGATGGGACAGTGAATGAATCCAGGGATGGGACAGTGAATCCAGGGATGGGACAGTGAATCCAGGGATATCCATCCCAGGATGGGACAGTCAATCCAGGGATGCCCTCTTATGGTGGGAATGGTGCTGGTGTGGCCGGGGCTGTGCCTGTGCTGAGCCCCCGGGAGCAGCAACACCCTCTGGGTGTAAAACACAGCCGAGTACCCCCAAAGGTCCCAACCTGTCCCAGAATTTCCCCAAATCCCTCCAATATTCCCAAACCCACAAAACCACCTCCGAAAAAAGATCACAAATTCAAATACACCCAAAATATGGGCAAAATATGCCCAACCCTCCAAATCATCCCAAAATCCTCCAAAACCCCCAAATTTCTCCAAGTCCCATCAAAACACCAAACCCCCCAAATATTCCCAAAATCCTCCAAACCCCCCAAATTCTGCCAAGTCCCATCAAAATCTTCAGGGATTTGGGTGGATTTTGAGGGCATTTTGGGATATTAGGGCACTTGATTGGGTATTTTGATGTGACTTGGGGGAATTTGGGGGTTTGGGAGGATTTGGGGATGACGTGGGGGGGTTGGATGTATTTTGCGCATATTTTGGGTGGATTCAACGGAATTTGGGATTTTTTTTGGAGGTGGTTTTGCCAGTTAGGGAATATTGGGGAGATTTGGGGAAATTCTGGGATATTTTTGGAGATTCTGGGGGTGGTTTAGATGTGTTTTACATTATTGGGGCACTTCGGTGCAATTTTGCGCTATTTTATGAGAGTTTTGATGGAATTTTGTGGGAATTTGGGGGAAATGTGGGATTCTGGGAATTCTGGCCCCACCTATGCACATTTATCCCTCCTCATGCCACGGGGAGGGGATGCTGGGGGCTGTTCATGGGTCGCTGGTGCAGATAAAGAAATTTGCTTTGATGAAGGAGCACCAACCCCACAGTTTTGGTGCTGCTGCTCTTCCTCCCCAGCCAGGATCATCCTCCAGCTCCAGCAGGAAAACTTCCCTCCCTGTCCCTTCTGTCCCAGACACCTCCGTGGGTGTTCCTCCGTGTCCCTTCCCAGCCCCTCCACCCGTGGGGTGGGGGATGTTCCACGGCCCCACATCCCCCCTGGAGCTCTTCCCCCCACCTCCCCCCAGCCCAGCAACCCCAGGACAGGCAGGACAGAGGGGTTTGGGGTTTTTATTGGGACCAAAGGCCCGCAGAGGGGCTGGTTTTATTGTCACAGCTCAGGACGGGCTCGGGGAGGGCCGTGCCAGGGCAGGATGAGGTGCAGACCCCCAGAGCTCTCAGGGAGGGGCAGCCCCGCAGGTAGCAGGGACCAGGGGCATCCCCATGGGTCCTGATCCCACCCAGCAGCTGCAGCATCCACCTGGGGACAGGAATGAGACCTGAGGGCTCTGGGATGGGATGAGGTGGGAAAAATCCCTGCTGTGGCTCCAGTGCAGGACAAACCCAGCCCAGCCCCTCCACCCTCTCCTGCCCCACAGAATTTAGGCACGACTCTTTACCTCTGTGTTCCCACAGCCCCATTTCTCATCCCTTTATACCCATCCCCAGGCCCCAGGACCTGCCCCTTGTGTCCAACCCCGAGTTGCTCCAGGAGTCCTGGCTGCAAACGGGGCTGTGCCTGTGCTGGGCACACCAGTCCTGACCTCCTCCCTCCCCCTGGCCCCATTTACAGCCCTCCCTCCACCTCCCTCCCAGAGAGGCAGCTTTTCCTCAGGCTCCTCATCCCACCTCAGCATCCCCTCCCCAGCCATGGGATGAGGGAGGCCCGAGTTGGGGTGACAGGAGCTAATCCAGGACCCTCAAACCCTCCTTCCCCCGGGAACCCCAGGGCCCCAACACCCTCAAACTCTCCTTCCCAAGGAGTCCCAGCACCCGAATCCCCTCAAACTGCCCCATCCCCCAGGAATCCCAGAGCCCCAACCCCCTCAAACCCTCCATCCCCCAGGAATCAATCCCAGAGCCCCAGCCCAGACCCACCTTGCTCTCTTCTTGCCCTCGGGTCCGTCCTCACTTGGGCACTGCAGAAGAGCACAGGAGACATAAATTCCCCCTGAATTCCCCTCGTCTGACTCCCCTCCTGACTCCCAAAGGTGGGCCAGGGCACAACTGACCCCACCATGTGCCCCCACACCCCCCATCCCTGCACACACCCCTGATCCCAGCAATCCCAGCACCGCCAGTGCCCACTCCTGGCCCTGGGTGATCCCAACTCTTCCCAGCACAGGGACCAGCTCATCCTCCTGCCTGGGCTGATCCCACAGCAGGGACAGCAGGGCAGGGGGGATCCTGCCCCTCTGCCCCCTCAGCTGAGACCTCCCTGCAGAGCTGCCTCCAGCCCTGGGAACAATAAAAAAAGGATGTGGAGCTGCTGGAGAGTCCAGAGGAGGCCACGGAGATGCTCCAAGGGCTGGAGCCCCTCTGCTCTGGAGCCAGGCTGGGAGAGCTGGGAATGTTCCCCTGGAGAAGAGAAGGCTCCAGGGACACCTTGGAGCCCCTTCCAGGGCCTAAAGGGGCTCCAGGAGAGCTGGAGAGGGACTGGGGACAAGGGATGGAGGGACAGGACACAGGGAATGGCTTCACATTGACAGAGGCCAGGGATGGATGGGATATTGGGAAGGAATTCTTCCTGGGAGGGTGATGAGGGGCTTGACTGGATTTCCCAGAGGATGCCCCATCCCTGGGAGTGTCCAAGGCCAGGTTGGAGCAGCCTGGGATGGTGGGAGGTGTCCCTGTCCCCACCCTGCCATGACCTCCAAGGTCTCTCCAGCCCAAACCATTCCCTGGATCCATGATTTTGAGAAATAATTCTTGGGGAATCACAGAAACGAGGCATGTTTAGGGACACACAGGCACGGGAGGAGCACAGGGAGGGCGGGCAGGAGGAATCCTGGCTGTGGGACAGCAGGGGCTGCCCCGGGCAGAGGGAGGAACGGGGGCAGCTCCTTGCAAGAGCTGCTCCGGGAGCGCTGCTGAGGCAGGAAATGGGAGCTGGGGGGGTTGGGCAGGACCCCGGACACAAATCAGGGCAGCCCAGGGCCAGGGGAGGAGGCTCAGCTCCCGCCCCCCCAGGCAGGGCTTGAGGGGGCTCAGGACCCCAGTGCTGGGGATTCAGGGTGGAGCAGGATGGACCCGATCTCCAGCAGCTCCTCTGGCTCCGGGGTCTGGGTCCCTCCCCACTGTGCAGGTTTGGGCACCACAGTATGAGGAAGATATTGAGCTCTTAGAGAGTGTCCAGAGGAGGCAACAGGGATAGGGAAGGTCCTCGAGGGGCTGAGAGCACTTGGTGTGTTCAGCTGGAGCAGAAGAGACTGAGGGGAGACCTCACTGCAGTTCCAGCTGCCTGGGCAGGGGCAGAGGAGGGGCAGGGACTGAGCTCTGCTCTGGGGGGACCAGGGACAGCAGCCAGGGAATGGCTGGAGCTGTGTCAGGGCAGGCTCAGGTTGGATCTCAGGAAAAGGTTGGGCTTCCCCCAGAGGCTGGTTGGGCACTGCCCAGGCTCCCCAGGGCAGTGGGCACAGCCCCAAGGCTGCCAGAGCTCCAGGAGGGTTTGGATGATCCTCTGGGGCACAGGGGGTGACTCTTGGGATGGGCCTGTGCAGGACTGAGGGTTGGACTGGATGGTCCTTGTGAGTGCCTTCCAGCTCAGCACATCCTGGGATTCTGTGAGTCTGGGATTTTTAGACCATGAATGTGGAAAGATGATTTCAAGATGCTTCAAAGACCACAAACTTGAGAAGCCTGTGCTCCACAGGGCTGCCCAGAGCCCTCAGATCCCCCCAGCACCAGGAGCAACACAAACCAGGGACAAACCACCCCACATCGAGAGAGACAGGGAGTCCTGCCCATCCTCCCCCTCCTCCTCCTCCTCCTCAGCTACCCTCACCTTTCACATCCAGCCTGCAGTCCACGGAAGCCTCCCCGAGGGCGTTGATGGCCTTGCAGGTGTAGACGCCCCCGTCGAAGGGGCCGGGCTTTCGGATCTCCAGGGAGCACACGCCCTGATCGATCAGTGCGATGTACTTGGGGTCCTCCCGGATCTCCATCTGGTTCTTCAGCCAGATGATTTTGGGCTAGAAAGCAGCAGGATCCGTTCGTTTGTTTAAAGCAGGGAGAGGGGTGAGAACTCTGCCTGACCCCAAAATGCAGTCCCTCCCTCTGCCTTTGCCTCGGCCCTGCCTGGAGCTGGTGGCCACGGTGGGATTCACACTCAGAAGGAATTTGAAGACCCAAATCTCCCATTTTCGAACCCAAACCACTGTTCCACACATCCTCCAAAAGAAGGAGACAGGACATGGCTTGAATTACAACCAGTCTCCCACCCCCGTGAAGGAACACCCCAAATCTGCCCCAGTTTGACTCAGGGGAGCAGCTGCAGCTCCCCACCCTCATCCAACCCTAACCCAGCCTGACCAACCACCTCTCAAGTCCTCCATCCCCCTCCCAACCCCCCTGGTGCCCACACACGAGGAGGTGCTGCCCCTCTGACCTGGGGGAAGCCCCTGACAGAGCAGAAGAGGTGGGTGCTGTAACCCCGGGTGGTGGTTCGGTCTGTCAGGGGCTGCGTGAACTTTGGAGGTTCCATCATGTCCCTCTGGGGGATCTTCTCTGGCTGGTAAGTGGTTTCTGAGGAAATAATCAGTTCTGGGCTGAGGCAGAGCTTGGGCTCCCAGGCTGACCCACACATGATCCCGGGGTACCCAAAAGTCCTTCTGCTCCCTCACATGGGCCAGGAGTCACCACCCCTGACCCCAGGACCTGCTCCTCAGCTCAGACCAGCCCTGTCTTCCCATCCAGCCACCCCAGTGCCCAGTCCCTGCAGGGGACAGGGCAGATGCCAACCCTCAGTCCCACTGGGATCCACCCCACGGGCAGCAGGTCAGACCGGGCCAGGCACCTCCCTGGATCTGCCACTCCATCCCCAAAACTCAGGGCACAGGAACAGGAGCTGGTGGGCAGAGACCCCCAACTCCCCATGTGCTCCCAGGGACCAGGGCTGAGGGAGGATGGAGGGGGAGCAGGGCCAAGGGAGGATGGGGGGGGAGCAGGGCCAAGGGAGGATGGAGGGGGAGCAGGGCCAAGGGAGGATGGAGGGGGAGCAGGGCCAAGGGAGGATGGAGGGAGAGCAGGGCTGAAGGGGCTGCTTGGGGGTTTGGCCCTGAGCTGGACCCCTGAGGGGTCTCTGCTGGCCCTGAGCTGCAGGACCAAAGGCAGGGCTGTCTCTCACTGCCCCCAGGGGGTTTGACCCCGGCAAAGGGAATGAGGGCTGGGATAAGGGCAGGACACCCCCGGGGACCAGCACAGCACCACCACCCCAACACCCAGGAAGCCCCTGCAGGGTCAGGGCCACTCTTGCCCCCACGCCACCCCGATCCCGAGGCAGGGAGTGCCCCACTTGTCTTCTCGATGTGGGCGAGCCCGGCAGTGACGGCGGCGCTGTTGCTGAGCCCACAGGAGTTCTCGGAGAAGACGCGGAAGGAGTAGGAGTTGCCGATGATGAGGTCGGAGATGGTGCAGCTGGTGCGGGTGCAGCGCTCCAGCACCGTGAACCACTTCTGCAGAGGGGAAAGGAGCCATGAGGAAAGGGAGCCAGGAGGAAAAGGAGCCAGGAGGAAAGGCAGCAGGTCCCAGGGATGCAGGAGGCAGGATGCTGACAGTGCCCGAGTCTGCTTTTGCCGTCCTTCACCAGGAAACGGTAGGTTCTTTGCTGTATTTATTTCTATTGCATCACACGAGAAACTTCTTTAACTATTTGCCTTTTTCCTTTCCTTTTCTTTTTTTCTTTTTTTGCTCAAATCGAGAATCCAGTTTCATCCCTTCCCTCTGGGGCCCCACCCATACATCACACATACAGAAACTCCTACTACAGTACAGTACACACACAACCCTTTAAACTAAGAGGTCGATATCACCATTTTCAACAAATCTTTACCTGCAAATATTGAACTGATCTGAACTGCAGCTGTACCAAAAAAAAAAAGTGTTTGTTTCTTTGTTTGGTTTGTTTGGTGGGGTTTTTTTATAACCACAAAGCCTGTAGATGCAAGGGTTATTTTTTAAAAATTTTAATCCTTGTCAGACATAACGTACTGACAAACTCGAACGCTAAAAACAGAGGAAAACAGAGGAAATAACAGGGAAGAAGTGCCTGAAAAGTCTTAGTGAGAAAAGCACAGCAAGAAGGTTCCCTTTTCACTGCACAAAAATACGCCCGAAAATACATCGAAGTGTTAAAAAAGGCTGAGGTCTGTCACGGGTCAAAAATGTCTCAATCCCTCCTTGTGCCAAGGTCTGACTGTGCTGCCCCTCTGCCCCCAGGGCTGCCCAGCACCGGGGGTGCCCACACTCACCCCGCTCTTCTTGTCCGACTTCTGCACCCTGTAGCCCTTGATCTCGGCGTTCCCGTTGTCCGCAGGGGGAGACCACTCCAGGGCCACGTTGAAGCCCCACACGTCCACCAGCTTCAGGTTCTGGGGGGGCCCGGGCGGCTCTGCAAGCACAACCCCCCCGCTGACAACCCGACTCGTTCTGTGCCCCGAGCTCCTCACTTTGGATCTCTGCTCACCCTCCTGCAGCTCACCAGGGGTGAGGAGCCACGAGGGGCAAGAGCTGGCAGGAACCCTGCCCCCCCAGCCAGAGGATTCACCTCCATGACCCTGGAGAAGATCCCACTGGAAGAGGCACCTCCACTTTGTTACTGGTCCTGCCCCATCCCATCCCATCCCAACCCATCCCATCCCATCCCATCCCACTCCACCTACAACAAGATCTACCCAAATCCAAGGAGAAGAAGTGAGCCCTGGAGAAGCTGTGAGGGGCAAGGGCTGGTAAAAACACTACATCCCCAACCAGAGGAGTTTTCCATTATCCTGGAGAAGATCCCACTGGAAGAGGCACCTCCGCCTTGTTGCTGGTCCTGTCCCATCCCACCCCACCCAGAACAAGACCTTCCAAAACCCGAGGAGCAGAAACGAGCCCTGGGGTGTCCGTGCCCATCCTTACCAACCACCTGGATGTCCAGGATGGCCTTGTCCTCAGTGCCACCGATGCTCACACAGAGCTGGTACTGCCCCGAGTCCCCGCGCTGGGCCTGCCGGATGTAGAAGATGGTGTCCCGCGCCGTGGTGCGGATGTTGATGCGGGACTTGTCCAGGGGCTGGCCCCCCTTGGTCCAGGTCACCTCGGGCTGGGGCTTCCCCTGGAGCAGAGAAGGTTGGGAGCCCCTGGAGCGCGCGGGGCGAGGGTGGGCAGGACCACCCTGCTGTGCCCAGAGCATCTCAGGGAAGGACCTGGAGCCGATCCCTGCCAGCCCCGGATCAGCTCCATCCCCGGATCAGCTCCAGACCCAGATCAGCTCCAACCCCAGATCAGCTCCAGCCCCGAATCAGCTCCAGTCCCATTGGGCATCAGGAATGGGAAGCCATCAGGCTCCGGGGGTGAGGCTGGAACTTGCCGGTTCCCCAAATTCCTTTGGTCTCCCAGAGCTGCCCTCCCATTTCCCAGGTGCTGAGCTGAGCCCAGGCTCAAGCCTAACAGCACGGGCTTAAATCTGGCACCCAGGGAAAATTCATGCCTAGAGCGTGGCCAGCACAAGGTCCCAGATTTCTCTGGGACATGTCACTTATCTCAGGGGTCTCTTGCTCCCCCCTGCTTGGCCAACTCATTTCAGGGCTGGTTTTGCCCATTCCAGACCATGGGGGAGATGTTTGGGTGATGTCTCAGCCAGGGTGAAACAGATCAGTCGAGGGGATGACCTCCAGCTTTTCCCACCAGCACCAGCATCGCTCCCATCCCACAGCCCTGCTGCCCCCATCCCACAGCCCTGCTCCCCCCATCCCACAGCCCTGCTCCCCCCATCCCACAGCCCTGCTCCTCCCATCCCACAGCCCTGCTCCAGAGGCAGCTGTTCCCCTCAAGGGGACCCCAGGGTTGAGCTGTGGGGTCCCAGGGCTGGAGGGGGCCAGTAGGCTGAGACAGCAGCAGCAGCCAGCCCATGTCCATGTTTGGGGTGTCCTGGGGTGTTTGGGGTTGTCTTGTTGCCAGCACCACCAATAAAGGTGTAGCAGGGGAAAAACGGGAGCTGGGCAGGAATGGGAAAGAGTTCCCACCTCATTTCCCATCCTTGGCCCATGAGATACAGGACCAGGCCAAGTTAGAGCACAGCTGGCCCCAGGCACGTCATGAGGGCCGGAAAAGTCACTACAGGATCTAACCTGGAGCGAAACCCCCCGGGGGATTGAATCCCAAAGCACCCACCTACCTGGAAAGGGATCATGATGTTCACGGCATCCCCCACATGCCTGACGTAAGTCTCCCGCAGGTGCCGAGGCATCCGAATCTTTGGGAGCTCTGGGGACCAGAAAGGCAGCTCAGGACACCAAAGGAAACACAAGGGAATCAAATCCCACCCCACACGTCCCACCCCACATATCCCCTCCTTGGCCACCAAGGAAGCCCCCAAGAAATGCATCCACCTCTTCCCTCCCGTCTCCTGGGCAGTTCTGGTTCCCTGCAGGACCATTGCCCATGTCCCAGAATTACCCCCATCCTTGGGACACCGGGTCACCAACCCAATGGATCATTCACTGCCTTTGGGTCATGGACACAACGTGGGCTGGACCAGGAGAGCCCCACACGACCCCCGTGGTGATGAGGCTGGGAACGGCGTCTCCCACTGGAAATATTCCTTCCACAGACCTTCCAGAGGCAACACAACCCAACCTCCAGCTCCCCCACCCTCCACCTTCCCTGTGCCATCGGGGCACCGAGGAGGTGCCCGGGCACAGCAGAGCTGGGGCAGCCCCGGGCTGGTGACAAAGGAATGTCCCCAAGGGAACACAACAAAGCCAAGGAAAACACTCCTTAAAGGCTGAGGGAGGGATTGTCTCTTCCTGCCTCTTCCTGGGTGAAAATAGAACCTGTGTAACTCAACCACCCGGGGATCCTTCTGGAGAGGATTTAGGGGGGCCCCTCGTGAGAGAGCCGAGTGTCTGGGCCTGGATTAAAGGGGCAGCAGCTCTGGGAGGGGGCACGGCCAGAATTAAACCCGACTGAGCCAAGCAGCTGTGAGGGTGGAATTCGGGGTGGGCCAGGAGGGCGAGAATGCCCAGAGCTCCCAGACGGTTCCAACAGCTGAGGACGTCCCTCCTGCTCCAGGGATCCATCCCTGCATCCCTCCATCCCTGCTGTGGCTCCAGGGATCCATCCCTGTATCCCTGCTGTGGTTCCAGGGATCCATCCCTTCATCCCATCCCTGCTGCAGCTCCAGGGATCCATCCCTCCATCCCATCCCTGCTGTGGCTCCAGGAATCCATCCCTCCATCCCATCCCTGCTGTGGCTCTAGGAATCCATCCCTCCATCCCATCCCTGCTGTGGCTCCAGGGATCCATCCCTGCATCCCTCCGTCCCTGCTGTGGCTCCAGGGATCCGTCCCTCCAGGGATCCATCTCTCCAGGGATCCGTCCCTCCATCTTTGCTGCCACTTGGGCTCATCACTCTCAGCAGGGCACTGAAACCTGATCCCGAGGCAGGAATGGGAATGGGAATGGGAATGGGAATGGGAATGGGAATGGGAATGGGAACGGGAATGCCAGGGGGTTCCCTCAGCTCCCTCCCTGCGCTGAGGTGATGGTGTCAGGGTGGGGAGGACAAGGTTGGTGGCCCAGGTGACACTGTCAGGGTGGGGAGGAAAGAAGAGAAGAGAAGAGAAGAGAAGAGAAGAGAAGAGAAGAGAAGAGAAGAGAAGAGAAGAGAAGAGAAGA